AATTCTTCAATCAGTGGTTTACCTATTATGTGTACATACCATCAATCAATACATTCCTACAAAACACTAAAAAACTTTAATGACAGGACTTAACAAGTGAATGTTAAAGCCTCCTCCTAATATCACCAATTCCAAAGAAATATACCTGATAAGTTTAAGTCACCTCTGATTTTATACTCACTCACTCACTCACTCTCTCTGACAGACAGACAGACAGACAGACAGACAGACGAACGGACGGACAAACTCCGCACACAAGCACATACACATGCATACACACACACAAATAATCATTGCTGAAGCTATAACCTTTCCTTGGAACAGTACCAAAAATGTATACAAATTTTAGTTTAAACCTTTTGTGTCTATGTAATGCCTCTCCTACACTTTCCATAATGCATTTTATTGTTAAGTGAAATACAGGAGGGAATTACTTTTGTTGAAGTGAAAAGGGAACAAAGGGAAATGTAAGTCTGTATATTGCTATTTTGATAAATATCTTTTTGTACATTGCAATTATAGAAAATAAAAACCATAAGTAAGGATTCAAAAACTGAATAGGAAGGACATAATCCTTTGGAAGACAATTTAACTGCGTGTTAGTAATTATTCAAGTAACATGTAAGACCTAGACTTCAGATAACTGACTAACAGGGGACAAAATAGTTAAAATAAATAATTAATATCTAAATAGTGTATAAAATAACTTTGGTACAATTTGAATCAAATGCATGGAAAATTATGATAATGTTTTCAGACCCATACATAACTGACAGATACAACCATAAGTAAAATGGACATAGCTTCATTTTGGGCCAAATAATTATCCAAATAAATTTACTGGTCACATTAATCATGTTAACTTCCTTTCTTTCATTCAAGTTTTAGACAATAAAATACTGGTTTTGTCTAAAACTAACAAAAATAATAATTATAAAAAGAATTATGAAATCATTCCTTCAAATTGAACTTTAATTTCCCCTTAGTCAATAATAATTTTAATTTCTTATTTGCACTCCCTGAATGATCATGAACATTGACATAAATTTCTTTATGCAATTAAAAATATGCAGGACTTTTTTTCAAGTTGTAAATACCATCCATTATGTATGAATGACATCATAACTTATATATCTATACATGTATTAAAACAATAGTTTAATTTACATTTTCATATTTTTTAGACTCACATGAAAATTGCATATTCTATTTTGTCACATCTGTTCCTATGGATAGGCATAAACAATCTGATATACTGCTGCCTCTGTCTCAAAAGATTCTGGCATTTCCTCCTGAATAGCTACTTGGGGTTGATCAGGCATGGGGGCATCAACAGAAGGTGTCACTACAGTGTTAACAACAGCTGGAGGGGCTTCTACAGGTGCTGCCTTTTTAGCTCGTTTGTATTTAACCAACTGCGTGTGAGTTGTGCCATCACTTTTAATAGACTGAATGTACACACCATGAACACTCTTTATATGTGCAGTCAGGTTACAACGCTGTGAGAATGAGGAAGGGCAAAGGTGACACATGAATGGTTTTTCCCCTGTATGGCTACGAATGTGGGATTGCAGCTTAGCTTTATATACAAAAGACTTCCCACATGTCTGACACTTGAATTTCTTATTACTCTCATTGTGTTCCTGCCATTTATGCTTGCTAACTGCAAGCTTGTGAGCAAATGCCTTCCCACATAAATCACAGACAACTGGTTTCTCTCCTGTGTGTGTTGCTAAATGGACAGTGTACTGAGATTTCCAAATAAATCCTTTTTTACAATATTTACAAACAAACTTTGGATCATGAGACAATCTATGGAAGTACATTTGTTGTTTACTGTCACAAACTTTCCCACATTCACTACATGCTGTTGGATGATGCTTATAACGATGAACTCTTAGGGAAGTTTTACATTCAAAAGATATTGAGCAATCACTACACGTTAAATCGCCTTGTTTATGATCTCTTAATTTCTGCTCCTTGGAGAAAAATTTATCACAACTTGTGCAATGGAAGGTGTTTGGTCCAATAACCACAGGTCCTTTCTTACCCTGCAAAGTCTTTTTAATATGAACCATTGAAATGTGGACTGTCATCACATCATGACGAGCAAATCTCCTGCCACAGTGTTCACATACAAACCGCCTCTCCCCATCACCATGCTTCGTATCCTTGTGCCGTTCTAGATTCTGTGGCCTTGTGAATACAACACCACACAGATCACATGGAAAGGAAAATTCGGATGAGTTGTGCTCTTCTTTGGCATGGCGCTGTAGTCTTGTGAATGTGGGGAAGACCTGGGAACAGATCTGGCAGGAAAACTCTTGGTTTCTGTCAACTCTCTTCTTCACCACCTTCTCCTCTATGTAGTGCATATCACTAAGCTTCTTTGGCCGTCTCTTGGTTCTTAGGCCATAACCCTTTGTCTTTAATATTTCCAAAGCTAATTCACTGTCATCTACTTCAACTGGTTCCTCTTTGACAGCTACTTCTTTTACAT